AATCAGTGACCACCTCTCGGATTGGGTTGTTTAAGGCTCGGAAGAAGACTGACAAGCAATGATAGCAAGCATAGCAATAAACATAGTGGATGGAGTGCACACAGAGCCTTGTAGAAGGTTGCTGGCCTCTTCAGTCAAGGATTTTAGATGTCCTCAAGTCAGTGGTTTGGTTGTCCTTGTTGATCTGGCTAGTGGGCGGCTTCACTGGAGATGGGCTTCCCGAAGTGTCAGCATGTTGAATGGCTGGATCATGGGTCCATCAGGGCTGTGCTTGATGGTGGTGTGGGTGTCTGGGGAGGAGCCAGCTGTGCCCTCTGGGTCGGCTGATATGGATGATACTGGGAAGGAGGAGGATGAGGTGGAGATGGAGGGTAGTAGAGATAACAAGAAGATAAAGCAAAAGAACTACAAGGCATGGAAGTATTTAGAAAAAAGAGGGAGAAGAAAGTGAAGAAGGCAGCATCCTGACAGCCCTTTTCTTCAGCTGCGCTGTGCCCTCTGGGTCGGCTGATATGGATGATACTGGGAAGGAGGAGGATGAGGTGGAGATGGAGGGTAGTAGAGATAACAAGAAGATAAAGCAAAAGAACTACAAGGCATGGAAGTGTTTAGAAAAAAGAGGGAGAAGTGAAGAAGGCAGCATCCTGATAGCCCTTTCCTTTAGCTGCCCCTTTCCCTGTGGTCCAAGATAAAAATGGGAAACAAGTCCTGTTTCAGTGAGAGGACAGCTGCTTCAGCCAGTCTCTGTCTTTACCTGGGTTCCAATCTGAGCTGGGCATGGGAAATGAAGCAGCCATGGGGGCAGGAGACCTCCCTCATAAGGGTTGAGGGTTCAGGCCTCTGAAAAGTTGGAGGGGCGAGGGCCTGTGCCCCACCTCTGTTGACCTCCAAGTTGTCTCCTGATGGCCCCTCTGCCACTGTGCCTGTCTTAGGTTGTTCCTTCCCTGAGGAATCTTACCCGTCTCTGGCTAACGAGCCATCGTCCAGGGCCAACCAGGGTGATGTGAGGCATGTGAATGAGGGAGGGGCAGCGCCCCCCTGCAAGAGGTTCAGTCCTGTCTCCTTGGTAGCCTATGCCCTCGTGGCCTCCAAGCCCAGCTCCTGCCTTGGGCTCCCCTCACCTGCAAATGGACTGTGAGAAGAGGGTCCCTCCTGACACAAGGGCAAGAGGGGCCAATACAGGACAAGGGAGGAACAGCCTATCAGTATGTAGTCCTGGGACAGGGTTTTCTCAGCCCAGGATGTCAGGCTCTTGGCACAAGACAACTCCACATATGGGGCGTATACCAGACACCCCCAGTCATGGCAGAAAAGGGAAGTGCCATTTCTGGAACAGTAGGGCAGGGAGGTTCTAGAAAAGGCTGTGTTCAGGAGAGAAGGAGAAAGGCCAAAGAACCAGCAAACAAGTAGTCAGATTAAAAAAAGAAAGAAAGAAAAAGAAAAAGGAAAGGAGATGTGTGGCAAAGCTGGGACGTATGGACAGACAAAAGGAGGCACATGTGATCCTCCCAATTGGCAGGTGGTTCCAGCTAAGGGTGCACATCTGCTGCAGACGGGCACTGGTCAGGTGTGCCAACTCGGCCTCCCAGGGGTGACGGTCCCCAGGAGGGAGGCAGAGGCTGCTCCTTCTGGAAAGATACAAAACACCACCTCTTCCCCACATCATTACTAGATCTGGTAAAACTCCTGTCTGGTTTGTGTATTCTTCTACCAGGCTGAGTCGGCAGAGGCTATTGTATAGGAGGCCCGATGCCTTTTGGCTGCACAAGCCTCTGCATTGTATTTTTAAAAAATTTAACATATAACATTCTTCTCCTCCTTGTTTTTACAGAAAAGGTTTCTATTGATGGAATTGTCAGTTTTTCTTTTTGTGTCAAGAGCTAACTTTGATGTGTTAAAACTAAATAAAATGCATTTACTCAATCCAAAGCAGGCATTAAAAAGAAAAACCCCAAATGCTCTCTTATATCCATTTTAAGAGTAGGATTGGCACTTTCCACTATTACCTGAGTCCTGATCTATCACCCAAGGGAAAGCTTGCCAATCCTGCACTTTCCCGGGGTGGAAAGGCTGCAGTGGGGTTAAGGATAAGGCTCCTTGGGCCTACCTTCTCCCATGCCTTTACATGTACCTTTCCTTCCTCAGAAAAGCATGGACATACTTCTTGTATAAAATGTTCTGTCTGACTGGGAGTAACCTTAACTCCTCTGCTAGAAAGCATATGTGTTAAAAGTTCAATACGGAGTCTTTTTTTTTTCTTTAGACTCAGTATGGCACATCTTCTCAATCTAAAGATCAATACAGAGTGTTCTTTCTTTTGACTCAATGTGGCACATTTTCTCAGTCTAAGTTCTGTACTATCCACCTTCTTACCCTACTTATCCTCTATAGGGGGGTCTTCAGCACCCTGGTGGAGTACTATCCATCCCGAGTGTGGGGGTTCTCAATGTGGGGGGGCTTACCTAGCGGAATCCTGTTCCAGGGGTTCCCAAAGGTGTGGACAGAGTTGGCGAAGACTATCCACCCCCTTCCTACGGTGGAGTCCTCTCCATCCCAAGTGCGGGGGTGGGAGGAGCTTACCTAGGGGAATCCTGTTTGGGAGCCATCTGTTGGGGTCCTGCCCCAGCAGGTCCAGGGGTCCCCAAAGGTGTGGATGGAGTTGGCGAAGAAGGAATGACATGGAGACAGCGTTCAGTTGATCAGCATAGCGAGGTTCTCCTGCCAGGTTCTCCAGCCAAGTTCTGTCTTTTTGTTTTATTTTTTATTTTTTTTGCAAAACACCAAATCTATATATAATCCACATATAATAACATAACTTTAAGTTGAAATATATCATAAATAAAACAAGTAACATCTACTGTTTGACAACTTAAGTATCAACAAATAAAATAAATCAAACTGGAATGAAATAAAAACATAAACAAAAATCCAACAGATTGTACCTCTATTATATGTACTGTTGTCCCAAAGGAAAAAACATACAAAACCAGTAGTATTCCAATAGTTAATACTGATGGACAAAAATAACAACAACTTATTTTGGAATACAAAGGCTGTGAAAAAGAAAAAAAAAACTGGTATTTTTATACTTTTAGAAATGTGGTTAGGAAGGAGAAATATGAAAACCCCCATAATTTCAGCATAACACGAACTGACTTGTTTTCATATAGATTTGGTCTATGATGTATCCCCTTTAAGATTTACACTTATAGTCAGAGCAAGCTTTCTGTAACACTCATCAGATTAGCAATGATCACGTCAATCATCTTCGCAAATGTGTTAATCTTCAAAAATAGGCTATAAAAGTGCAAAACTATGGAAACAAAAATCTAGATTATGTACATATGGCTCAGCTTGTGAACAGGAAAAGGGGTTAATAGTGTACGCTTTCCTGATACGAAGCACTTCGCTGCAAGGCCAGCAGAGTGATCTCAGGCCGGTCTCCCTGTCACACGGGAGTTAAGACTTCTCATTCACGTTGCATAATGAAAACAAAACAAACCAAAAAAAAAAAAAAATAAAGATTCTTTTAGGACTTTACCCTTAAGACAAGAAACATTAACAGTGCAAAATTATTTTTCAAACAGTTTTCTGAGTAAAATGTTAAACCCAGGGGCTGCTGGAGAACTCAGCTACAAACTGCAAATTAAGGGGCGGGAATTTAAAACATCCAGTCGGCCAACTGGTGGCTCTATTCTCTTTAAAACCCAAATTGCATGTGTACTGAGAAAACGCTGTTGCTTTAAAATCAAAAATGGGAAGACAACCGAAGTCTAGAAGCAGGCCACTTCTTCCCCGGTTACCAGAAGGCTCAGGCCAGAAGTTCTTATTCAGAACCAACATGTCTGAATATGCCCACTGTTGACCCCAATGCAGACGCACTCACTTCCAATACAAACCTAAAAATTTCCCCCAAACTTTAATTTCCTTGAAAATTGCTTCCAATAACTGTATCATGTATAACTTAGCATTTACTTTTGTATCTACAAATTTAAGCAAACACCTAAAAAAACTGAATTTTCCTACAAAAATGATTCATTTGAGAGGAGACTAATTTGAGTATCTCCACATACACTTTGGTGGGTGTGCTGGCAGCTGGCTGCTCGGAGAGGAAGCGCTGCCCGCAGACACCCACTCCCCAGGGGGACAGAGGAGTGCCTCCTCCCCAGCAACACCATGGCATTTGTGATAAAAGGGCACCAAATCAGAGTAGCTGACCTCGACATACGCAGCAATATTCTCAGAGGGTCAATACTTCCATGAACAAATTTTAAGACAACAGACTGCGGACAACTTAACATAATATAAATCATCAAAAAAAAATTTAAAACGTACATCTTAAACGAAAGAGCACAGATAGCAGGGACTGCTCAGAGTGAGGAGCTACATGAGGAAAAGGAGGAGCAGGTATGGAAACAAGCAGATACAACTTACATATGTGCAGATTTTACCTGAGGTACAAGCATTATATACTTTCTCCCCCCGACCCCCACCCCCAGCCCAAATGATTCTTTTCAGCAGCGCTCAAGTATGCAAAAACTCTGCTTATTTGGTCAATTCTAAGTTCAATTCAAAAAAAAAAAAATATTTTTCAGGGACAAAATAGAGATTTCCCGTCTCCATTTGTATACAGCTCAACTGTTCCAACTATAGTTTTTATTGCTATTTGGTACAAAAGTTAACAGAACCACTTTGCAGCACGTGGTGTTCCTTGCGGGTATGTACAGTACAGCCACAGCTTATTTCAGCAGCTTTCACCACTCGCTTTCTCGAAGGATGAACCGACTCAACTTCATGGAGCACACATCCATCCATCAAGACCTTTCTTCCCCAAAATAGGAAATCAAGTTTTCTTGTCCTTTGGCCGAGAATGTGCATTCCCAATAAAATTCTCAGTTTCTCTTCTGAAGCATGCTGCTAGATCAGTGTTTCTGAGACACAGGCCCTTTTCCTCCCAGCTCCGTGCGGGGCGCAGGTGTAGAGGACCCGGGCCGGTAGGGCTAGTGTAAGGTCAGCACATTGGCGGAGTCCATCTCGCCTGATGCCAGGAACCGCGGCTCGGAGGGCAGCACCTTCGGCGGCGGGAACGCGTACTCCTGGGGCAGCAGCGTTGTGGATCCGGGGCCCACTGGGTACTTGGGCAGGTCCAGGACCCTTCGGTCGTGGGGCCCCGGCTGCTCCGCATCCAGGACCACGGGCTCGGCTTTGGGCCGCTTGGGAAGCGGCTCTCCGAGCTCCGGGCTGGCAACACCTGCGCTGCGGCCACAGAAGGAGTCTCTTCCCGGGGGCGCCCC